TCCTTGAGATCCAAGCTGACTAACAGAAAACTGTGGTAGTATAAAAGCGAGCTAACAGGCCCAGTATCTCTAATGCTTATTGAGAGATCAGAGCATCTGGCATCAGTTACTGACCTCTCATATTATTTCTTAACTCAGTTATTGGGAATGCCAGCTACAGTCAGGTCAGGTATCCTTAGACATTTTGTTGCTGGTTTTGTTCAATATCATCACAACTCTCCAGTGTAATTATCAGAATAGTGAGCAGTTCTTGTCACTAAGGATTCAGGGAAGGGTGAAAGTTCTCTTTTGGATCCAGTAACATGACCCAATGCAGAAAGTGGGTTTGAGAGAGCATGTTACAAGGAGAAGATTTCCTGTGCTGCCCCCTAACCTGTGGTTTGTAACTTCGTTGGGTGGCACTTACATCCAAGACCATCTTTCTTTGCACTGAGCTGTGCATTCATTATGATCTCTTTTAAGGGCTGGACTCCTCATATTACACCAGCATTTATAACTTGGTTTGTTAAAATAGCTCTAGTTCTTCTATATCTAGAATATCCTGCTGAGGCTTTTGCAAAATGTGGCTGTGTTTCTGTCAAACAAGATTAGCTGAAATAAAAGGTATCAGTTTTCTAGGAAGTATGTTGGCTTCTTACCTACTCACTATTATCAACAAAGCATGCCACAGTTTGTGTCTTGGGTCTTGGCTATCTGAGACCTCTCTCCCAGCAAGTGTTGCTGTGGCATCTGAGTCAATATTTCAGTAACTAGATATAATATCTGAGACTGGTAGCAAGGTGCTTCTTATTAATGAAATTACATATCTAATGTATTTTCAACTTTGACCATATTTTGACAAATAATATCCTTATACTCAGGATAATTTTTTTTCATTTCAAACCTAACATCAGTGTCAAATTTCATACAAGCCAGAATCCAGGGAAGCAAGTTCTCTCTACCTATTACTGTAATTCTGAGAGTCAGCTTCTGAAAATTCAGTAAGAATGATAATAAGAAAAGTTTACAATGTAAATTCAGAGATACACATTGAAAGATCATATCTGATTGCATTTTATTATTGGACTTTATGTCAATACCTGATTCTCTGCTTGGCATGTTGATGGTGCGGTCTGCTGGGCAGTGGACTGGGAGGAGACCATATTCCTTATCACCACACAACATTCTCCAGCACTTCTGACACTGGCCTGCAGAGTTGAAGAGATGCTGTGTTGTCGTGGAAAGGCAGGAGTTCCCTACACTCCTTTAAGCATGTGGAAAATAGGATATTGGTGAGGTAACTCCCCTTGGACTGTGCTGTAAATCTCAGACTCAGGATGAATAAATATCAGCTTCTCTTCTATCGCTGTCTTTTTCCCTACTAGGATGGCACAATTCACTACAAGACCTTTAGTTCTTGCCTTTTACTCTCTTGCTAAAGAAATGGAAACTCACTTTCTCAGTAGTGATTGGTGAAAATGTATGACTTTATTTTTTAAACCTTGAACAGGTTTAAGGTTTTTTTAATTATTGTTGAAATTAGATCATCAGTGAGATTGCAACATGTGGGTATTTAGAGGAACACCTGGAATAAATTCATTCCAGGGAATAGAATGATAAAGGGCAAACACAGCAGGCGATACAGAAATTTTACAGAAAATGTCACGAGGTACCTCGTAACTGCTTGGCTATTGAGCTTTTACGTATGCCTGTCAGTACAGAATAACTTTTCCCAAGATAGGTTTGCCTTGGTATAGGTCCTTGTGCACAACTGAAATACATTGAATACCACTGAAACTTTGTACTGGATTGTTGCTAACTATAATTTTCCAAGGGTGACATTTTTGTTATGGGATTTTTGGACCTTTCTGTGATGAATTATTAATACAGATGAAATATCTATCCACTGTATATAGCACATCTATCTTGTCTGGATGTTTTGGACAGTTTAGAAATGTTGATAACTAGTAGCAATTTCTCACCAAAGGCAGAACAGAATATTTAATCATTAAACATTTAAAAAAAAAAAAAAGAATAACAGAAAGATATGGGGAACATTGATAATGCTCAACTTAAGACATCTTAGCCAGATGAACTAGCCAGATGGCTACAACTACTGTAGGAGGAAAAACAGGGAGGAAGCAAAGGCTCAAGGCAAAGATCCATAATTGTCTCTATAGTTTGATTCTTAGTTCATGCCAGTTATGGTTTAGACCCACTATCCCAGGTGATGGAGTAGAAACTGTTCCTGTAGACATTCTCATTATAGCTTCAGGCTATAATGTCCCACTCTGATAGGGTTGAACATAGCCTTCTTATTATTGCAGGCTTATTAAAGTGAGAAAAATACAAAACAATTACTGTAGTTATAACTATTTTAGTTATAGCTATTAATGATGGTAATTGGCCTCCAAGGGACCATTTGCTGCCCAGCCAAGGCCCAGGGCCAAACATTATTTAGTGTGGATGTAAGCAGCCCTTACAGCTTAGTCTTTGAACCAGCTATCAGTTCCTGGCCTTGTTTTGTTTAGATGTTTAGGTGCATCCATAGTCTCCTTTTACTTCTTTTAACATCTGTGTAGACACATCGGGTCCTCCAGAGAGTGACTCAGGTGACTTAAAATAGACTCACTCCCAACTGTCCAGTTGTGAAGACTTGTTTCTGTTGGCTGAGAAAATTAATCAAGGAAGATATTGCAGTAAATAAGCAGCTTTAGACTGGGAGGTCTCACTGCCCAGTGTGGATGAAGAATCTTGTCCACAAAGCTAGCCGAGGTTTTGACAAGTATAAAAGCAGGATGTTATAATTTGATTTTTGGGCCTATTTTCTGCTTACTTTAAAAGAATGGAAGTGATATTGGAGGAACTCATGATTTTTATCTTTTTCTATGAGATAAACATTTTGTCGGATCAAATTAATTTGTTGTTTATGGCTTTATTGTAACTGTGGACTGGAAAGATGTCATGTGTAATCAGCAAAATGAAAACTAATTTTGTATAGGTTTCTCTCCTTCTTACTTGAGAAAGTTCAATAGACAAATTTTGTACTATGCAAAGCATCTAATAACAGATAAATACAAGCACTTTACAGATAACTGTATACTTTTACGTGTTCGTGTAAAGCAAAATAAAAAGTACTCACAGGCATCTCGAGTCAATAGCCAAAACTTTAAAGTCAAATTATGAATGATCATCACCATAATGCAATTAAAAGCAGGGATGTCTTATAATTTCTTGTTGCTTGAATGCCTCCTCACTAGTAATCATGGAAGGGCTCCTGAGCTTCTTACGGGCAAAAGACACAGGAAGGATGTTTTGCATGGCAGAAAAAAAGGTGTGAAAATCTTGTGCCATGGTCTAACTGTTGAGATGGAGGAAAGTTACACCCTGAGGTATTAAGTAATTGATTGCTAGAAAACCTTATTCACAGTTTTTCCAAAGCATTGTTTCTATCAATTTTAGATCAGTCTGGTACTGATTTTACTACAGGCGTTTTGTCCCTTATTTTGGTCTGAGTATACAATATTGATCTAATATTCTGAATCCACTTGATTCAAAACAATTTCATAATAAACTATTGCTAGATGCTTTTGCAGGCAGCACAGGTATGAGAAAGAACATTTTCTTGTTCTTAACAACTCAATCCTAATAGTGTTTCAGCAAGAACTAACTACTTACATGTCAAAGGTAGCTAAAGCACATATTCAGGCAGTTATATAATGTGAGAGATATTACACACCAACAGATAATTACTTCTGATAGTTCTGTGTTTCAAATATATTTTTCTGCTCAAATTGTGGGAATAAAATACTTACATATTTATTTTTGAATTTCAATATGAAGTTTTCAGAGGTTCTGCTTTTGCTTCCCTCACCTCCAAGATACAGTATATCTGGCCTTAAAAGACTACAAAATTCTTTTTTATACACATTAGAAATCATATGGGGATCCTCGCTGTATTTAGCAATACATGCCTTGGGAGTCTAACTTTCATGTTACCTAGAACTCAAACAATTTAAAACTACTCATTTGATCAACAAAATAACTTGCTATCAGAAGCAACCTGTGAGAGTAAAATACATGCAATAAAGCACCTATTATTTTTATTTTTATTTTTTCTGTTGCTTTTCATTTCTCAACAGATTTCGCATCTTGCCTCCAAAGCAGAGTTTAAGTGTTTGCTGAAAAGTTTATGATTATTATATTAAAATGTAAAATTGACATTAGATCTTAGAGGAAAAATTTAATGAACTGTATTTACACACAGCAGTTTGGAGCCTAACACGACGTCCATCATTTCAGCTGGATGGGCATTTCAGCATGATAGTGTGTAAGGCAGTCTTAAAAAGAACTGAAGTTCACATTGAAGTAAACTTTTTATGCCATTACTCAAATCTATTATGGAAACTATTCTTCCCCCATATGTAAATAACCAGTGGTTCTCAAAGCTGGGCAAGGAATACATCACTGCTAACACAATAGCTGAAACACAAATGTCTGTCTTCAGGGTGGGCAGAGAGTTGTGCGCAGCAGCTGGAGCTTTAGAGAAACTGACAAGTTATGTTTTTATGACCTGCTTGAAACAATCTGTTTCGACATTTCAGGAATTACCACAGCTTTTGGGAAAAGCCAAGCATGCAGTCTGAGCCCAACAAGCCAGTACTCTGTGCTTAAGTTTAATTAAGCCACCTACTGAGAAAACTACCACAGGGGAAGCTCTTCTCTGAGCATAGAATTTTCAAACCAGTGGAGAGCATCCAGGGAAACAGCAGTTTCGACACCCAATATATTTGCCCTAGTTCCTATGAATTACATGCCCTACTTCTTATGAATTATGCATATTGAAAGCTCAGTTAGGAATAATGTTCACAAATTTGTTGATTACAAATGCTGAAATAGTCAGTGTACCTATCCACAAATAAAGTATGTGTTTTACCCACGCTACTATTTCAGTTTTGCAATTGAGTGGTACAGTTAGACTTTAATTAGTTTACAGATTGTCATTACCACAATCTACTTACTTTTTAAGCTTCTTCTGACTATGTTTTAATCCATCAACATCAATGAATCTTCGGAAAGCTTGGTGACATGCTGCAATACGTCATTTGTGTCCTTAGATAGCATGATAGAGGAATGAAAACAAGTACCACATCAGAGAACAAAGATCATTAGATGGAATTAAAGAGTTTGTATGTAATAGGTGTCAGTTTATGTTAAATTAGAAAATGAGCTACTCTTAACACAAATTCATTTTCAAACATTTCAGTTACATTTACGAAGAACTGTTCTTTAATTTTTTGATATAATACATAATGAGGAAATTACCAATAATTTTTGAATAAACATTGCATTGATGTCAGTGGAACAGTTTGTGCAAGTTAAACTTCCTAAATCTGGGGCCAGATATGAAAATTTTCTGTGAGGTTTTTTAAGTGTAAGTACAGCTTGATACTCATTGGGGTTTGCTTATATTAGTTTTTAGATCATGAAAGGAAGGGAAACAGGGCTACATTCATCTCTCTTCTTGACTCTGTCTTTCTCCCAGCTTATTACTCTCTTCAGAATTGGTCCATAGTCCATATTCTACCTGGCACATGGAATCTGTCCTTTTTTTTTTTTTTTTTTTTTTTTTTTTAATTTCAAATGGCAAGCCAGTAATAGTATTTTTGAGAAACCTCTTAAAAAATGTCTTCCCTAACACATTTCTGGTTTACTGTTTCATCTACTTTGTTCTATGCAGCACTTTTAAAGGTACCTTGGGTACCTATTCATTAGAGACAATGCCTTATTTTATGTGAAAATTAAATAAATATTTTATTCAGGAAAGCATTCTAAGTTGCGGATGTTTGGATTAGTGTCAAACTGTAACATTTTAGTTTTGCTTTTACTAATCAGACATTTTATAAAATGGAGGAAAAGATGGGATTTCTATATTGATCTCAGATTTAGTCTTATCCTAACAAACATCTCAGAGAATTTAGAGAACCATATTTTCACATACAGGCTAAATAAATACTTATAGGTCATCTTTCACTAACCTCTGTAGTTCACTCTTAATATCTGTCTAATGGGGAAGTTGGAATTCTTAAAAACTGAAATGTCATATACAGAAAATATAAAACAGATATGATTTCCATAGATGAATTCTGCTACTTGCCAGTCAAAAGTAGTGGTACCTTCAGCTTTGAAAATTTATCAATTTGTGCAGAATAAATAAAGAGGGGTTGTGGGGTTGTTCAGTTTACTGGAAATACTTTGGTAGGATTTTTTAAGTATGAAGAAATTCAATGGCCTGGGAGCAGTTTTCTGTGACAGCTTCAATCGTTTCTGAAGTTTGTAATGATATTTCTCTATTTTTCACTTTAAATACTAGATTCAGCCTCCACTAAAATCACAGGAGAAAATTCTACTGGCTTCCTTGAAATGTAGAATTACCTTTTACATGTTTGTCTACCACTTAAAAAAAAAAAAAAAAAAAAAAAAAAAAGAGAGAGAAAAAATTCAGCAGAAAAAGCACAGCAGAAAAAATAAAAACTTTGAAAATTATTTTCACAGAATCATAAAATCATAGACTGGTTTGGGTTGGAAGGGACCTTAAAGATCATCTAGTTCCAAACCCCTTGCCATGGGCAGGAACATCTGCTAGATCAGGCAGCTCAGAGCCCCATCTAACTTGTCCATGGCAGCGGGTTTGAAACTAGATGATCTTTAAGGTCCCTTCCAACCCAAACCATTCTATGGTTCTATGATTTATAAATTTAGATTTATAAATATGATACGGAAAGTACTTATTCTTCATAGTCAAATTTTAAAAGCATTTACTAAAGAAAAGGCATGAAATAAATGTACAAATGATACATACAACATGTAAATGGTAATTTTAAAATGACATGACAATAATTCACTTGCTGTAATTTAGAGATGTTAGCAGAGTATTAGAATGTGACATCAGCTTTATAAATGTAAGAAACACTTTTATTATTAAAGGCTTTATTGGATTAAAAATTTCATTGTTTCATAAAAAAAAAAAATATACATGTATGCAAAATGTTCCCACTGTACACATATGTATATATGTTGAAATAGTCAAATACATAACTAGAACTAATAAGATTAAGATCTTGAAGAACAGAGTATACTGGCAAAAGATTCCCAGATTTGTTTGGTCAGGTACTCACAGGTTCTTAAAAGAAGCTGCCTATAAGCTTAGAAGCCTGAGCATCTGACAGGCAAAACAGGAAAAACAACATGAGATTGCTGAGCTCTAAGTCACATGCAAACACCCAGTAAACGGATCTTTGTAAAACTGAACCTTTAGCATCTGAAGGTTTTATCAGATGTGCCAAGCGAGGCAGGCTGCAGGAATCAGAGCAGGCTGAAGGGAGCAACTGTGGCACAACCCATGTTCAAAGGGCCATATATTCCTCCTGGTTGCACAGTGTGTTCTGGCTTGTAACCATAAAAAATTAAACCAATAAATTAGGTGAAGAATGACAGTGGGAGCTCCACCGTAGAGTGCGAAGTCCAGGCTGGAAGCGCCACCGCCTCCCAGGAGGAACAGTTCAAGGGGCAACAAGGGGGTGGGCTCCACCAAAGAGGGAACCTACTGAGTCAGCATCTGAGCCTGACCAATACTGCTTCTGCTACTTTGAGATGAGCAGAAACAGTGAGCGACAGTATCCATATACAAATAACAAGAAGTGAATCAGTGACCCAATTTTAGTTGTTTTGATTTAGTGTATGGATGCTTATTTAGAGAGCTGCTAGAACAAGATGAGTTCCAGTCACCTGACTACAATCATCTGTATGAGAACATTGATTGGATTAATTACTTCAAGGTTTCTTACATGACCCTGGTACACTTTAAGAAATACTCTTTATCCAGTTAAAGATTTTACTACCAACAATACTAATAACTAGGAATATTGATTTCAAAATTTACAAATTTATGCTGAAGGTACTATAAATGTAATTCATGATGTTAAAAATTAAAATCATAATAGCTACTTACATTTCAGTTGAATTAGAGGAGAAAGCATGCTCAGTCATTTTGGTTTAGTTTTTACCACGCACAAGATTACGGCAGACTCTTAGGTAACTTGGATTAGTGTCCTTGTGACATCTGCAAATAGGATATCTATAAATAACCTTAAATCTTGGTTTAGTTTGTATTTTTATATGTTCCAGGATTATGAGGACAGGACCAGAGTGAGAGTATGAAGCGAGCATGAAGTAAACTTGTACAAGGCAAGAAGAACCACCAGGGGCTGTGTCAGTTGTCTTCAGTTCAAAGCTACCTTCTATTCCATAGTTTTGCTCAGGCATAGATTATCGTCATTTTAATTTCAGTTGACCAGTAGCTTATTCCTGGAGCACACTGTCTGAATTTAAAAAAAGAAAATGCAGATAAATTCACATACCAATGAAGAGAAGGTATAATGACAACTGACAAGTATATCAGATTACTCATTTGTCATAGCATCAAAAGAGCTTAAGCTGAAAGTACAGAAGAGTGGGAAGGTTAAGGAGTATGCACTGTTGGGACTGTTTTGAGATGTTTGTTTGAATGTTCAATGACCTTCAAAATGCTACAGGAATAAAGAAATGCAAATGTTAAGATAAAGACTCTCCTCAGAAGACTATCAATGCCAAGAACTGTTACTGCTGATTGTCTGAGTTCTAATGGAGAAAGGAGGAGGACAAGTGTCATCACTACATTATTTGATTTTCCTAATTTTATTGATTTTTTTTTTTAAATCAAAATTTAATATTTCTTGAAAAAAAAATTTCCTTCACACTGGAATAATTGCCTCAGCAGTCTGTAAATCTGATTTTGGATTCCAGAACTCTCTCCCCACCTCAAAAAAGAAAAAGTGCTGGAGGAAAACCCCATCAAAACCTAACTACATTTGTGTTTACTGGGACGTGCAGTACTTCAGTCATAGTACCTGCGAACTACTGATGTGAAATATCTGAGTATCAAACTTTCAACTACTCCTGTATACTTTTTGTGTTTTATAAAATTTATAATTAGTATGCTTTTATCTGGAAAATTCAGTAGTTTTCAGTACTATGCAAAAACATAAAAGAAAACTATTACTTTTTTCAGTTATAAATAATAAAAATAAATAAATTTGCTTTAGCTAATTTTTAAAGTGTAGTTTTGTCTCAGATTTTCCACTGGTGAATTTTTCACTGGTTAATTTTTTATATATGGATGATGTTTAGTGACAGTCTCACAGAAGAAACCTGAAGGAAGAAAGTCCCTCAGATTAGAAGCTAAATGTATTGCTAAAAATGGTAGAGTGAGAGAAAGTGAAGAGGAGGAATGAAGTCTGAAAGTTATACAGAAATCTCTTTACTGTATTAGAACTGACTTTGAAAAGCTCTTCACACTGATTTATGTTCCGTCCCGAGCAAGTCACTAATCTTTTTGTGCTCTATTTCCAGAGACAAAATGCTGTTCAGAGGCTGTAGACAGTGACAATTTGGATGCCCTGGATACAATTCTGTACTGGTGATGTGTGTGCAAGTGTGGGACTAGACACCAGTGATGGGAGAAACAACATGCAAATTAATTTCTCCATAGCAAAGGCGGTAAGACAGAGGCCTTCTATATGTAATATTTCTCTAATGGCTTATATGAGTGGTAACAAAAATAGACATTCAAGTGACAGTTCAAGGCCTTATCTCATGGAGAATTATCCTGGGCACTATTTCCTATGAACCAGTCTCTGTAACGAAAATTTCTATGGTTATTTAGCAACATAATAAGAAATACTCTAGTAATTTGAAGGTACAAGGATGCAAATACTGACGTGATCACAGTGTTTGTTAAATGGAAAATTTGGAGGGGAAAACTAACTGCAATCAAATAAGGTAAGGACTGTGAGAAGATATATATCTAAAAAGCACTTTCACTGTATGATAAAATGTTTTTTGTCTGTGTTGTCCTTTAATTTAAAAAAAATACAATTAAAGCAGACGAGCTGATACTCAAATTATAGTGTATGATTCTGAAAACTGGCATAGCTTTTTTCATCTGTAGTGTTTAGAGATCACAAGAAGATAATAAATCTACTTTAGTGAAGTAGAGGCTTTTACATATACTCTTTTACTGGTCTGCCAAAATGTTTTACTTCTCACCCTGCTCGTTGTTGTTTGAGTTACTCAAGGTTATTTCAAATCTCATGTTGCAAGCAGTTTCATGAAGCTACAAGGTCTGAATAAATAGGTCACTTAAATTCAGGGTCAGTATATATTTATTTGTACATTCCTGACTTCAACTGTCACTAAGTGATGAGCTCATAGTCAGTAGCTTAAAAGGGAAAAAAAAATAATTTCAACTCTTTGTGGCTTAGTGAGTTAGCAAACAGATTGAGAAAAAATAAGACAGTTAATCATCTATAGTACAGAAAACAAGGCTGTTTGCAGGTGGGACCAGGTCACTAGGTGCTCTGTCATTTCTCAGTTACTGTTTGTTGTGTCCATGATAGATCAGCAATGAAGCTATTGAGACACTGGTAAAGTCAAGTAAGCATTCCTCTTCTGCGTGTTGAACCCTCTCGACACTCCTGTCCCTGCCAAATCAAGAATTGCTTGATCCTTTCTTCCTGGACCAGCACACACAAATGCAGAATTGATGTATGTATAGCCAAAACCACAGTGCGGTAAATCAGAAGTGCAATTTAGATGAAACATCTGTAAAGATACAAAGAGACTTTTATGAACTCAACCATTCTCCTGATTGCCTCTCAGCCCACAAGAAAGGTGCAGAGAGAGAAAGAAGCAAATACAAAGTTTGTGGGTTCTTTACATTTGAAAAAAGATGAGCAGAATCATAAGTTTCTGTAAAGTAGAAAAGATGCCCAGCATTTTAGATGCTGTGGGCTATCTTCTTTAACTTGTTTGTTTTCAGCTGTTTGCTTAGGGCCTGATTCTGCCTCACTTGCTTTACACTGAGCAGCACTTTAGGGAGAATGCTGTGTGCAGGATGGGACACAGGGAATTTATTTTGAAATAACATGCACTGTGGACACAGGCCTGTATTAAAGGCTCAGCGCAAGCAATGAGTCTCAGGGACATGAAGTATTGTTCTCTCTCCAGAAAGTGGGGCATTGGCATTATATAGTGTTTAGCTGCCTTTCAAACATGCAACAGCTGGTTTCACAGATTTCTGTATGTACTTAGGTAAATGCAGGTAGATGTCAGCTGTTCCTCCCTCAGGGTAAAGGAGGTGCACTTTATCAGGATGATGGAAGGACTGTAATGTTGAATCCATCTCACTCTTGTTTGCGTCAGAGGAGGCCTTTGATGCAAGGATCAGGCTTGTGCACCATTAATTCTCCCCCAACATCATCTTCCATGAAGTATTTTGTGTTTTCTTCTTTCCTCATATCAATGACTACATGAAGGATGCCACAGATCCTATTTTACTGCTACTTCCAAGTCAGCGGTGTCTCCATCTATAAGAGGCTTAGCTTGCTAAGTCTTAGTTCACTTCACCAATTGATTAAGCATTCAGCAAACACAGGTCACTTGTGAAAATGAAAACAAGACATTGCTCAAATCCAACCATAAACATTAAATATTAACAAAATAATATATCTTAATTTCAAAACATATCCTCTGAATTTTTGTGTTTTTTGTAAGTACATGCAATCTTTATAACTCAAAAGGGTTATAAAGAATATCATACGCAAAGCTGTCTACAAATGTTGCAGTTTCACTATTTGTTCTCCAGAGCTTATGTTTTCATCATTTGGAAACCCAGAACAATAACCTTGATTCTCTAAAAGCAAGATTAAAAAGTGTAGTAAGCAGTACTATAACAAATATTAAAGATGTTTCTGTTCCCACTAACCATGAAACCTCACATGTTTATTATGGTCACTGGTACATTCTTTCTGTCCCATGAGATAATCCGTTTGATGTTTTGGAGTGGATATTTACTACATCTCTTCTAAATCTCTGATCAAGTTCATGGTTTTTATTTTTTTTTCTGTCACAGTAAAAACTACAGTGAAAAATGCAGAGGTACTAAATTATAACTATTATGTGGCTGTAGATATTTTCTTCTTTGTCACTTGGCCTATTCTGTAATAGAAGATATTTTATTCTCCAGTAAATTTTCAAAGATTTTGGGTACTAAACAAAGAATAAAAAATAATTGTGATTTTTTTTTTTTTTTTTTTTCATAATGAAGACTAGTCCCGGAAACTGCAGGAGAAATCCATGTATACAAATCCTATCTAATAATTGCAGGCCGAGGAGGGCTTGCAGGACAATCTTTGGAAACAGTTCAAAACCTTTATTAAGAGACCCACTTCTTTCAGAATATAACCAACAGAAATAAAGCTTTGCCATGTCTGCAGCATATTTATGATGATATATTAGCTATTAAACAGATTGTTTGAATAGCAATTTTCTTTGTGGTAGTCCCACTATGATGTTAGACATTAAAAATGATAAATTTGTTAGAATCTGAGTTTATAATGGTTCTGCACCTTTTGCAACCCACTGTCTTGGTTCTGACATAAAATTCTGGATCTTTACCTTGTAGTTTTGGGATAGGACCACAGGTACAGTTCAGATCCTTCCAAAATCCAAAATCCCAGCTGTATTTTAAATAAAAGATGACTGTGAACTTTGTCACAATCTTTTGGAATGATTGCTATTTAGATCTTCAAGAGGCCCATAAACTGAAGCTGAATGGATGGCTTGTTGGTGTAGAAATAATCTGTATTGAGAAAGAGTGGTAGGATAATGATCTAAAAAAACATTAGTTTTAATTCATGCATGAAAGTGACCTGATGGCTCGTAAAAGATGAGCTACGATTGGGCTAATTTTCTTTCAAGTAGATTACAAATGAGAATTTATAAATGTCTAGTTAATAAATCCTTGTTAAAATTATTAACCTGATTAATTTCTCAAGTGGGGCAGATAATTCTAATTAAGAATCTGCAAATATGTTACACGAAAAATTCATATCAGAATTTATAATAACAGCATTCATTTATTGAGTTATTTCTTAACATTCTAGAGTTCATAAAGGAACAGTAATTATATGTTTTGTCTTTAAGTGTACTTATGCAGATTTGTGA